ACATCGACAGGCTGTACTCAGAGCCAGTGTTGGCAGGAGCGCCCCACGTGCTAAGCATTTTGCATGGATCATTTCACTAAATTCTCCTAACTGCCTCCACGACGGCCGGTCCTATTATTTTCCCCGTTTCGTGGAGCCAAGGTTCTGAGAGATGAAGCGATGTGCCCAAAAGTTCCTTGCTCCACGAATGGTGGCGGCTATCATTGTTGAACCCTGTAAGAGAAATGGAGTGACTTGGAGTTATTCACGCAATTGCTTTTTTTGGCACCTGCTCCTGGTTCTCTCCCTCCCTTAGTGGAACTTACTGTCTCCATTGTGGATGGAGAAGTTTGGAAGACAGAGTCCGACGTGGGTCTTGTGATTGCAGCGGGGTGAGCAGGGGGCAGCCTGAACCTCTGCAGCATGATGACCAGAAGAAATGCTGTGGTGTTCAGGGCAGGGGTGACGGGGTAGTAGGAAGAGGCTGGAAGATCAGCAAGGATTTGTGCCCTGAAGAAAAGCTGAGAAGTGCTTTTGGGAGGAGAAACAGCAGGGGTGTCTGTCTCAGCTCTGGGCCTTGACCCTGGGCATGGGGCGTGAGGTGGTTCTTTCTGATCGTATCTGTCCTTAAAAACCGTCCTTCAGTCTTTCCTTGCTGGGCAGGCGTGCCCATCAGTCCCCAAGAACCAGAGGCCCCTCCCCTCACACCCCCCCGTCCCCGCCCAGTGCTGCCTGAATCAAGTGAGGCACACGAAAGGTTATCTGTTTTGAGACTACGTTGCCCCAGCTTCTGGGACTGACCCCCCAACATGTACATGGTATTGCCAGTCTCTTGTGAGGTTGCCCCACGCTGCTGTTAGCCGGACTCAGCAGGAATCACCATCCCCAAATTGCAGATGAGGAAACTGTGGCTCTGCAGACAGGAGCTGCCCAGGTACAGGGCATTTGGGATTCCACCCTGGCCTGACCAGCTGGGAATCCTGGGCTGAGAGGAGAGAGCCACACCCCTAGAGCTGGTGACCTGACCCTGGGTGACCCGTGGGTAGCTCCTGCCCCTTCAAGCCTCAGTCTTCTCATCTGTCAAATGGGGATGAAGGGCGCTTCACAGTCAGTGCACTGGACCCAACTGAGGGCCCAGCGCATGCAGGATCCAGAGGTGAACAGGCCAAACCTTCCCCTCTCCACATGGCCACAGTCTGATGGGGGAGGCTGATAATCAAGTGGAAAACAGAACAGCACCCACTGGGTTCTGTGGTGTCTGCCAGTGCCGGGCGCTGAGTGACTCCAGGGTCTCCCTCAACCCTGGGAGCTTGGGAAGGGGGTGGTTTTATCTCTGGGTCCTGGTGTGGGGGCTGGCATGCTTGCCGCCTCGAGGAGTGGAGACTCAGGGCCTCTCTGGAGCTGGGGCAGGCCGTGACTTGAGGCGGCTTCCATGAGACTGATTTATCGGCAGCGACTCGGCAGCCCTGGGGAGCCGCGGTCTGAGGGCGTGTTAGGTCCCCCTAGCTGGAATGAATCCGGCGGGAGGATGAGTTCAGTCATGCTTGGGTTGTCAAGAACTGAAGAATAATATTCTCTCTTAAAAATGTTCCCTGTGGATACCAGACTGGTAGGCTCTCTTGCTCATTCTAGGTGGAGGCTGGGGAATCCTGCACCCATGCTTTGTGACATCTGGCAAGCCTCTCGCCCTCTCTGAGCCCAGGGTGGCCCTGCCAGGGTGGGGAGAAGGGGCCCCCCCACTGATGGGCTTGCAGGGGAATGGAGTTAGATAATACATGGAAGTGTTCAGTTGTGTGCCTGGGACGCCCTCATTAAGTCCACCCCTAATAAGAACGGCAATGGTTTCTGGCATTAGCGCACCGCACGCTGATGTCTGAAAGCATCTTTAGAAAATCTGGCCATTTGGGTCTGTCTTACCCATCGCTTGGCAGACGCAGCTTCCTCTGCCTGGTGTGTTGCTCAGGAATTTTCTTTCACCTTCTGGGTGCTTGCAGCCCCAGAGCAAAGAGTTTCTCTCTCCTTTGGCAAGGAGCTTTATCCCTCGGAGTCTGTTTCCTCATCTGTAAAGTGGGCACAAGCATTGCTGTGTTCATTCCTTGAGATAATGTGTGCAAAGTTGGGAAAATATCCCCCTTTCAGATTTTCTTTCTTTTTCTCTCTCTCTGTGGCAGGTACTACTTCCCTCACCCCACCCCCGCCAATCCAGATCTTGCAGTGCTGGAATAAAATTCCTTTGGAGATATTAAGCAGGGGAGGGTGGAGGGGTCACTGGGAACAAGGCAAGCATGGGTTCAAGAGCAAAGGTTCGGGCACTGTGCCTCAGTATTGCCAGAATCCAGGGCCTGCCATGTTCCTGGAAACCCTGCCTCTGATGCCTTAAGCTTCCTGGGGTACCTTCTCCCCAGGAAGCCCTGGGTGGGGTATTAACAGCATCCAGATTTCACCACTACGAACTAGCTTTGAAACCTTGGATTCAGAACCTCAGTTTCTCCTTCTGTGAAATGGGGCAAAGACTCCTGTTTCATGGCCAGGAACATGCCCACCTGGCTGGGCCCCAGGAAGTAATGGGGCTTTAGGGGCTTCTAAGTGGCTGCAAAGCCCCCCTCACCCCTGACCCTCCCAGATACGAAAGACAGCCCCAGCAGCACTGTTTGGGGGTCTCTCTGTGTGCCAGGCCATTACAAGGCCCCAGGGGAGATGACGTCATCCCCATTTTACCAGTGGGGAAACTGAGGTCCAGAAGAGCCTTGGCCACATAGTAGTGGGGCTGTGACTCCAAAGTGACTGTGCTTTGGTCACAAAGAGATACTGTTTCCGGGCCTCACCATCAGCTCCAGGAGAAGGGTGGGGACAGTGTCTATCCTGTTCCATGCTAGATCCGCAGACTTGTACCATGCCTGGCATATAGAAGGTCCTCAATAAAGGCATGTTAATTGCATGAATGAATGAAGTGGCCAAGGAAGGCGCCTTCCTCCCCAGCTCCAGCTCCTCCCAGCATGCAGATCCCAAAGCAGGGTGTCTCTGGGGCTCCAGGGTGGGGGCCCCAAGCCCAGTTAGTCATGGCCTGTCCTCAACTGCCTGGGCCCATCCCTCTGGGAGGATTTTCTCTGCACGCAGTGGCTCAGCTCCTGGGGGAGGCCTCCTGCTTAATCCCAGAGGGCAGGGCGGGCAGGTGACTCCTGCCTGGCACAGGGCCCTTGGCTGGGCTTGCACAGACGATTGAGGGCAGGCCGGTCGTGGAGTTCAGTATCTGGGTGTGCTCCCTCACCTGGAGCAGAGCCCCCCGCCCCCAATCTCAGCTTTTTTTCACTTCTACTGAGGCAGAAATTCAACATCAGCCCATATTCAAACCCAGCTTTCTGTCCCTTCCAGGCTGTGTGACCGTGGGCATACTCTAAAGTCAGACTCTAGGAAATGAGAATAATGAGACTCTTCATTGACATATGGCAGGTCTCAGGACAGAGCCAGTGGTCACATGGTAGCCGTAAATGAGAAGTCCTGCAAATTGCCTGCTCTGGTCTAATTTATACTAAGATGTGAATGGTTGTCAGACTCCTTTCTCCTCAAGCACGTCTAACACAGACATCCCTGTGATCTGTGGTGCTTTCTGGCATTGTGTGACTCAATGAGAAGGGGGATCGGGGGATTTTCATTAAGGGTATGGGAGAGGAATAGACTCCCCCACCCCAGGCACCCAGAGTCCTTTCATGTAGCAGCTGAGAATGGTGCTTTTGTGCTGGTCTGACCGGGGAGCTCAGATTCTCTGTCTTTCCTGCTGTGAACACTTCACCCTCTGTCCTTGTGAAGACAGCACTTTATAGTTTATACAAACACCTTGTACATATCAACAGCCTAGTTGACTAGCCATCATAAGGAGGTGCAGGAGCCGGGCAGACACCCCCATTTTCAGAGGAGGGGACTGGCCTCGGGTCCCTTTGTGGAGCTAGAGCTGGATTCTCTCAGCTGTTACGTTGGAGCTGTGTGACCCCAGGAAAGTTTCTGTGCCTTTCTGGGGCTCAGACTTCTATCTGTAAAATGGAGTCTGAGAAAGCTATGGCCAGAGCATAGGAGGGAATGAAAGACATAGGCAGGTGTCCTGAAGGGCTCCTCCTCTCCCATGTCCTCACTCTCAAAGTCACTTCCATGGAGCCTCAGCCCCTGCACACCAGTGAGGGGCAGAACCTTCAGAGGTGGGAGGGGGCTGAAAAGGGAGCAATTGGAAAGTCCTGGGGAGTGCTTGGGGCTTGGGGAGTGCTTGAGGATTGGGGAGCACTTGGGGCTTGGGGAGCTGTGGGTTTCTAGTCTTTGTGACTCAGCTGTGCCAAGCTGGGTGTCCACAGGCACCTTCTCCATCCTTCCTGCTCCTCTGGGAAGGGTGCTGTGACTCCACACTTTCTCCTATGTGACTTGGGGCAAGTCATGTTCCCTCCCTGAGTCTCAGTTTTCTTAGCTACAAAGCAGAGGTGATCATCGTTACTCCTGGAGTTGGTATGCAGTCTGGCACATTTTAAGAAAGTTCCCAGCTCATGGTAGACCCTGAGCAAATGTCTATCCAGAGGATGACACACAAACAGGCTGTGTTCTGGACCCAGACAATCCTCCCCTCCACCCTTTCACGGCATGTGGCGAACTCCTACACATCCTTTGATGCCCAGTTTAGACGCCCCTCCTCCAGGAAGCATTCCTGACTTAGATCATGTCCAGTTAATCTTTTGGGAACTCTGGTGCATCAGAGATGGGCAAACTCTTGAGTTTATCCTGTCTCACTTTCCTATTTCCCAGTGGGGAAACTGAGGCCCAACAGGGTGGGTCTTCCCTGGGCTGAGATCTCACAGATGAATCAGAGGTAACAGCAGGAGGATTCAAAACAACATCTCTAGATCCTCCAGGACCAGCTTTAGCCATGGAAAGAGGGCGTGGACGGTGCCTCTCTTGTATGCCTCTGCCACTTTGGCCCCCATTATGGTGGCCCTCAGAGATGAGCATGCCACTAATGTCCTCTCTTCCTTCTCTCTCCACAGCCCACGACCTCCCGGCAAACAAGGCCTCAGCAACCCAGCCTGGCAGCCACTTGCAGTGCCTGTCTGTCCACTGCACAGACGACGTGGGTGACGCCAAGGCTCGGGCCTCCGTGCCCACCTGGCGGTCCCTGCATTCTGACATCTCCAACAGATTCGGGACATTTGTGGCCGCCCTAACTTGAATGACAAGAAAGACCCCCTCCTCTACCAGGCCCTTCCCCTCCCCTTCTCTGTCTCCTTCCCCCTCAACCTGACCCCACCCCTCTGTTAATTTGAAAGGGCCACTATTGCTGAGTGTATGATTTTTTTTTTTTTTTTCTCTAGGTTGGTACCTGCTTAGTGGCATATGGACCGGAAAGGGTTAATTTAAAATGGGGGGGGAACCTCAAAAGTTTTTTTAAAAAAGAAACTTGTCTGCCACAGTATGTTACCAGTGTTAACCCTTCTGCAGTTAGCAAACTTTTGCTTAAGCCTTTTTCCTCTAGATACTCCCCATGTTTCGGTAATCTTGGCATACATTTTTTAGATGACCTCTTTCCTTGTTTTATTTTCATGCTGCTGTATGTCCAAGTATTGTTATTTCATAATAAGACAAGAGTTGCTTTCTTTTTTATTCTTTTTCCTTTTCTTCCCCCCTCCCCTTTTATTTTCTTTTTGCTTTGTTCACTGCTTATTAAAATGGAAATCCTGGAGAATAGTAGTTCTGGAATATTGCCGGGTGAAAGTCAAATTGTCTTCACAATATTATATATTGACACCCAAGTGTCATCAGTTAGGCAGGAGCCAAACAGTGAATGCCCCCCTTAGGTATTCCGCCTGGGATTTTGTTTTGTCTGTTCCCTAAGAAAATATATTTTCGTTCCTGCAAACACAGTGCTCAGCCTTCAGTTCCCTTCCACTTGGGTTCTCTCTTCTCCTGCTGGAAGCCGCCCCTCTCTGCGATGGACGTGAGGACGTGTCCAGCTCTGCTCTGTGGGAAGGAGTTGGAATGTTCGACAGTAGTGTTTTCTCTCCTTTTCTGGGCCTCCTCGCAAATGCCCAGGCCCTGCATTTTCACGCTGTGCTAAGCAGCCTTTGGTCTGCTTGGGGGATGGTGTGCTCCCAGCCTGCAGTCTTTGGAGCCAGGTTGCTGTCCTTGCTGCAGTCAGGCCAGCTGTGCCTCGGGCGCTGGAGTTGGAGGAGGCTGAGTTCTCAGCCCTTTCCCTTTTCTGAAAGCTGTTCCTGGCCGGGCATCCCAGGGAAGAAGGAGGGGACTGTGTGTATCTCCTCCACCTCTCCCATTCCATCCCCAGTCCAACCTGGGCAACCCCGCCCTGGGAGGGATGAGGCACCCTCTTGCTCAGCCTGCTCAGCCTTCTCTGAGCCTGGGTGTCTTTCTTTGCAGGGATCTGCAGACTCCCGAGGGCTAGAGGACGAAGAAAGAGAATATAACAAAATGACTTTGATTCCTACGCCTTTTAGTTTTGAACCCTGGAATTCCTCTGCCCCCTCCCCAACTTTTGATGGAATCTTACCCTGTTGCAAAACTAGAGCCATGTCCCAAGCATCTCACAAAGGAATAACTGCTTTGAGCAAAGATGAGTGGTGGTTGGCATGGACAGGCACTTTTGGGTGCTGTTGATGCCTGCAAAAGCCATTTATGGCTTGTAGTGGGGGGCATATAGATTCCCGGGTGGGTTAGACAAGAAGTGACTGATACCACTTCACCCAAATCGGTGATGGTTATATTTAATTTCAGTTATTGTTATCGAGCCTGTCTTACTAAAACGCTCCACTTTGAGCTCCTCCACCCCCTCCAGGTCCTCAGAGTTTGCAGATCCGGGCTTTTTTTAGCAAGTGACCTGAAGGCTCTGGGCTCACCATACAACACCCACATTGTTTATTTCAAAGAACTCTTCAGCAAAGGGAGAGGAGCTTTCAGAAAAACCTCACTCTTTCCCCTCCCTTCTCCCCTCTTTCCTTCTGCTGGCCCTTTTGGCTGGGGTCTGAGTCTGCGGTTCTCGCCTGGGCAGTCTTGACCTGGGGCAAACCCTGGCTTCAGAGGGCAGACAAAGCAGGTGGCATGAATTGATCAGCGAGAAAGGTATGAGCCGAGGCAGTTCCTGCGTTCTGCTACAAAAGGAATGGAAAGGGAAGAGAATTTTCCCCCACCGTGGGCTGTGGGAGAGTTGACCGTATTCTGGACAAAACTCCGTGACCGCTCTGATTCTGCAGTGTACAGCTGTTTGAGAGCTTCATCATTTTACTTTTGAAACAGGAATGATTTCTCCTTAATTGCTTAAGGCCGGGGAGCAAAGTGTCTTAACTTCTGTCTTTGACTTTCCCAGCGTTGAGTCATCAACACTTTGCCAATTAGCTCATGGTCCTGGCAACCTCGGAAACCCCTGAAGTTTTAAAAACTTTCTCGCTCCCCACGACCCCCAGAATGAAACAGCTTTAAAAATAGCCTTAAGCAAAAGGATGTTATTTCATTAAATTTGGTTTAATGGAAAGAATAAAAGTAAATGAAAAACACACCCAACACACTAGACTCCGAACACTGGTAATCAGTACTGCATAGCAAACTCTTTAGAAAAGAAAACGAAAATGTTATTGCACATGTAAAATATGAAAACTTAACTCTGCTGTGTGTTAGGCAATCCTGTAATCTTTTTTGACTCTTAAAAGAAATTCATTTCTGAAATGCTTGGTTGGAAGACTGTGACAATAGCTCATGAAATTGAGTGTTATTTTTTTCTTTCTTTTTTAAAAAAATATGTAAAGTGCAGTCTTCTGTATTCCTGCATATTGTATATACCTGTATATGTTTTCCTGAGCAGTTAAATAACAATAAATATGACGTTAATGGTGACTGTGGTATATTTGTGGGTGGGGCTTGCTTGCTTTGTTTCCTCCCCAACTCTATCCCCTTTTTACATCAGTCTCTTCAGATTCTGTGGGATATAGGGGTGTAGGTTTGGATGCTGTAGTGTGTGTGTGTCTGTGTGTGTGTGTACTGATGTTGTTCTAAGTTGGGTCATTTCAGTATTTCTCAGCCTTGGCACTATTGACATTTTAGGCCTGTTAATTCTTTGCTGGAGTGTAAAGGGGGCAACTAGGCATTTTGGGAGGTTGAACGGCATTCCTGACCTCCACCCACTACATGCCAGTAGCACCTCCCACCCTTGTGGCAACCAAAAAAAAAAAAAAACTCTCTGAACATTGCCCAACGTCTCCTTGGGGGAAAGATCCTTTGGGAGCCAAGAACCCTGTATCTGACTCATGTAGGAGGGAGGGGGCAAGGGAAGTGCCCCCCAAGTGGCTGTGTAGGATGATGCTTACGCTTCTGAGTTCTAGTGTTGAGTTCTGATCCTAGTAAGCCTGGGAACCTCCTGCAAGTTATGGAGCTTCTCCGCTCCAGCGTTTCCTCATCTTTGAAAGGGGTCTAGCTCATGGGGTGGTTATTGGAGACAATGTATTGGACACAACACGTAGGAAGTGCTTCATAAGCATAAAGCATCAGCATCAGCACCATGATCTGACCACAGGGCAGCTGATGGCGGTCTGGAGTGGCGCTGTCCTGGGGCGCATGCTGCTTCCTCTGCTTACAGCCACGAACCTTGGGCAAGCGGCTTAACTGGCTTAAGCCCCTAGTTTTTTGTTTCTAGAGTGGAGCAAGTAACATCTAGCTGGAAGCTCACTGTGAGCACCAGCCCTGTAAAAGGATCGGTTTGCCTATGGGCCACGCTTTGGGCAGTGGCTTCACTCCAGCATCTGCAGCCTCAGACCTGAGGCCACTACAGACCCTCCCTGTTCTTCCCTCTTGGACCTTTACCTCTCAGTGTTTCTCAAAGCATGGTCCACAGAACCCTGGCCGCAGAAACACTTAAGGGCTCTTGTTAACTCCAGATTTCCGGCCTTGTGCTAGACTGCTGAATCAGAACGTCTGAACTCTTATTTTACACATAATTATAACAGGTGCAGTTACCTTCTTTCACAGCCCGCAGCAGACCAGAGGGCTAATGTAGGTGGGCCCGATGCCAGGTTGGAGCGGGAAGATGAAGCAGAAATGATGGCGGCAGATTGAGAGCTGCAGTGCGGCCATTCAGTGTGGAGGCAAATAGCTTGCACATGTCTCCAATGACTCTACCCCGGAAAACATCACACTAACACAGCGTGTTAACAGAAGCTCCCCAGACTGGCATTAAGCTGGTAAAATGTTTAATGACATCCAGGAAATTCCCTATCTCAGGAGCAAAGAACACATTTAGGAAGATTACCCGCCATAGTTGCTTTGTCACTGGGGCTGGAATCTTGAGTGGAAAAACCTCTGCGGGCACTGGGTCTCCAGGTGGTAGGCAGTGTACTCTCTCTGAGCCTCAGTTTTCTTGGCTGTAGAGTGGACAGAAAGAGTGTTATGACCCCACAGAGCTGTCTATGGGAAGACTCCTGAGCACAGTGCTAGGCACAGAGCGGGAACAGGCAGTGCCAGCCCCCTTCTGACACCTGGTGACACCTTTCCATTGGCATTTGGTAGGACACATCTTCCAGACCCTTCAGAGTTAGACATGGTGCTTCCACTTCCTGTGACCCGTCTACAGGATAGAATGACCATGGAGGAAATTTGCTTCCCTGGGACTGACTCAGAGACCTGGGCTCACCCTTCACTGGTAACCAAAGAACACCATATAGGTGCAGGCAATTCAAATCGTTTCATTCCAGCTCAACAGATGTATTCAGCTCCTATTATGTGGCAGAAGCGGAGGATCTAGGTAATAAAACTGCCATGAATCGAGAGCCACACTCAGTACTAGGCACTTTACAGACTAATATTTTCTCATTTAATCCTCATGGCAACCTCATGCCAGGGCAGATTCATCCCATGTCCCAGATGAGGCAATAGGCTCGGGGAGATGAAGTGTACAAGGATGTGCCGTCAAAAAGTGTCTCTGACTCCAGTTGTCATGGAGATCATGAATCATCCTGCTCTTAAAATACAGTCTAGAAAGAGGGAATAGGAGTGGATGGACAAGTACGTTGACAGTTAAAAGTGAAGGGAATATGCCCAGTAACCCATGGCGGTACAAGGTATGGATGTCACTCAGAGATTCATGAACCCCATGTGGGAGGCTTGGAAAAGGCTTTCTCCAGCAGAGCATGTCCAGAGAGGGTTTTGAAGGATGAATAGGAGTTCATCCTATTCATCCCAGCACATAAGCTGATACTAATTTTGCAGAAGTTTTATTGTATTTTTTTTCAACTTTTCAAGTTTTCTTTATATAGGTAATGGCATATTTATCAGAATGTAAAGTTTTACAGATGAAGCCTCTATAGTCACCTAAATTTGGAAGAAGCTTAAAAAATCTCTGTAACCTTTAAAGGTCTCCTGCTCAGAGTGACAGTTGTATATGATCATGATCAGAACCCAAGGAAGGAGAAAGGAATGTGAAAGAATGATGAGTATTGGGTATGGGCATCTGGGAGACTTCAGGTTGGTGTGAAATGAACATATGAGTGAATGAATGAACTCTCAGAGGGCCTAAGAACCAAAGGACTATGGCACGGACTGGCACATTGTGGGGGTTGCACATGACATTGGGATACATGTTGGCCCTGGGGAGGACAAGGATGGGGTCTAGGCTGGCCCACATTGCTGGTGGGGTCTTTCCATACTAACAGAGAAACACCCATCTCACACCTCAGAAAGAATGCCTTCTTCATTCTGAGTTGACAGTCTATGGGAACGAGGGGTAGAAGGCAGCCGAGGATCCTGGCCCAGCTTGGATTAGGAGGGTGGTGGCCCTACCTGGACAGGACCCATGCATAGTGCAGAGTATGAGGAAGGTACACTATCCATCTGTGGCAGATGGATGTTGAGCGAATTCCATTTTTGCAGCCTCAGAAGGGGCCACGTTATCTGAAGAAAGATTCTGGACTAAATACCACAGGAAATTCAAAGTGTATCCTGGAGAGACACTGCTTTGGGCTTCTGTTTTTCTTTCTCTACAGCAGGGTTGCACCATGATGGTCCCTGAGGTGACAGGGATCTGGTGGCCCAAGGCCCCATTGAATTTGGACATCTGCGGCCCTATGCCCTCAACTGCAAGTTATCAGAAGCTTCATTCTGAGATCAAATTGTTTTTAAGGGATTTAGAAAAAGAGAGGACCCTGGTTAGAGATGGGTCAGTCCTTAGGAGGGAAAGGAGAAAAGAGGGGGCAGGGAAGTAATGACATCACCCCCTCTTGAGGCCTAGGAGACATTTTCATGGGCGTTTGTGTAGGGCTTCTTAAAGTCACTCTGGGTTGGGGTCACTTGGGTTGTGTGTGAAGAGAAGAGGGGGCTTTTGGATGTGGTGGGATGCTGGGTGGGCCTCAGATTCCTAGGGTGGATGGATGAGCAGGTCATAGCCCAGGGTCTGGACTGCAGAGCCTTGACTCTTTGCACCTCAGTTTACTCATCTGTAAAGCGGAGAGAATGTTCACAGTAATGACCACTTCATAGGGAGATAGTGAGGCTCAAGTGAGGGTTTTGCACAGGTCTTGCTCACCGTAAGTGCTCAGTGACTATCAACCCTTTGTAACTTCAGGAATTGTGGATTCCTCTGAGCACCTACCATATGCTGGGCACTGAAGCGGAGGTGATGCAGGTATATGGTAACAGCCCATTAAATGTCTACACATATGCTGCCCAACACGGTCACCACTAGCCACATGTGGCTCCTGAGTGCTTGAAATGTGGTTGACCCAAACTGAAATGTTTTGTAAGTATAAAATACATGCCAGCTTTCAAAGATTTAGTATGAAAAACACAAAAGAATTTAAAGTATCTCATTAATTAAAGTTAAAATTTTGCGTATTGATTACATGTTGAAATAATACTTTGGATATACTTTTAAAATGTTGATAAAATAATCTCACTTCTTTTTCTTACTTTAAAAATGTGCTCTATTAGGTGTTTTTTTGTTTTGTTTTGTTTTTGTTTTTGAGGCAGAGTCTAACTCTGTTGCCCAGGCTGGAGTACAGTGGTATGATCTTGGCTCACTGTAACCTCTGTTTCTCGGGTTCAAGTGATTCTCCTGCCTCAGCTTCCTGAGTAACTGGAACCACAGGTGTGTGCCATCAAGCCCAGTTAATTTTTGTATTTTTAGTAGAGACAGGGTTTCACCATGTTGGCCAGGCTGGTCTCGAACCCCTGACCGCAAGTGATCTGCTCACCTTGGCCTCCCAAAGTGCTGAAATTACAGGTGTGAGCCACCACACTCAGCATAGTTTTCTATTACTACATCACAATTTCCTACAAACATAGTGGCTTGGAGCAACATCCATTTATTATCTCCTAGTTTCTGTGCATCGGGAATCCAGGTCTGACATATTCGGGTTCCCTGCTCTGGGAGTCACAAGATGGCAATCAGGATGTTGGTGGGCTGTGTTCTCATCTGGAGACACAACTGGGGAATAGTCCATTTCCAGGCTCATCCAAATTGTTGGCAGAATTACTTGGGGGCTGTATAACTGGGGGCCTTAGTTTCTTACTGGCTGATGACTGGGGCTGCTTTCAGCTCCCAGACATCCTGAAAGCTCCCTATTATATGGGCCATCAGCTGTTCACAGCATGGCTGCTTGCTTCTTCAAGGCAAGCAGGAGAGTCTCTCACTCTAGCCTGCTGAGACAGAGTCTTATATAACATGATGTTATCATGGGAGTGACATCCCATCACCTTTTGACATATAAGGCAACCTAATCAGAGGAGTGACATCCCATCACCTTTGCCATATTCTGTCAGTGAGAAATAAATCATTGATTCCACCCACACTTAAGGTGAGAGGATTATACTAGGACATGACTCATGGGGGGTCATCTTAGGGTGTATAC